AAAATTAGGCTCTATTGATTCCATTTCTCAACAATCGTTGCATAGGGGAGATATCGTCAGACCAGCCCTCTGGGTATACAAACTAAACATAGGCACTCGACATTGTAATTTAGTTAGTATGACTTCCAGTTCTCTAGTGTTGCACCACCCGCTCGGGTTTTCAATAAATTCAGATGTGTAAATTCTGTCCGTACTTTTACTGATTTTAGGGCATCTGCATTGAATGAACATATATTTGTTTTTCTTTCGCCACCGCCTAATTGCAGCGCTAACGACTTTTATGCCACGTTTTAAAAATGGTGATACACACGTGTACGCCTCTTGTCTCATTGTCTATTCTATCAAATTTGTGAAATTTCATGGTAAACATATCAGCTTTTCGACAGCATTGAAAATATTCCTGTCCGAGTGTCCCTGCGCAGAGGCCCCAAATATTATTAGAAGGGCCAACGTTGCCGGTAGACACCATTGCCGCAACATAATTTTGATACTTAGTTTTCCGTGTGAAAAGCGTCGGCAGCTCAACAAGAAGTGTTCAATATTGTTAGGTTCCTTGCAATAGGAGCAAAAAGGGAAGATTGCTAAACCCGCTCTGTGCATGTAAAGGTTTAGATTTTGAACTCTACGACTCATCCTCGGTATTGCAACTTCAGCCCGTCTTGCTGCACAACCTTTCCTGCTCCAAAAGAACTGTAGGTGCAGAAAGTCCGGTGATGAATAGAGACTTGGAGTAAGCACAGATAGTGCATACTTTCTCCGTTTATCTTGGAAGTAGTCAGACGCTCACATCCGGGTACCCTTCGTTTCTCACAATCAGTTATGTTGTAGAAACTAGGGACCAAATGTACGAGGGGCACATCTTTTCATATTTGGCCACTACACGCTGCGCGTTGAGAATGTCGACACACAAGTGGCAGAGTGGAGCGCGGGACAAATATTCCCTGGTGATGTGCTTGAGCAGCTGGTTGTCTAGAGACGATGCTGCCACCTGTTAATAAATGTGAAGAACCTTCTTGTACTGTTCCAGCTGAGCAGCATACTGAGCCACGTTCAGCATACACTTGTTTGCAGATCTTGTAGACACCTTGCCCTTGAAATAGTCTGCTGCCTGCTCGTAGTGGAACATGGTCTTTTCGATGTAAACAGTTTCCGACTTTGATATCTGTGCTTTTGTCACGTGATGATTTGGTGCTATGATGAAGATGCCCATGTCTGTGTATATGTCAACATCCTTCAGGTGGCAGTTTACAGCCTCTTGTTGGTCCGACTTCTTGTAGCATGTGCCAGCAACGGAAAAGCAGGTCGCAGCGTCGTGTTGACTGCTATTCGTCGGGTGAAGGTTGGTGGCTTCACAGAAAGCGCTTCCTACCACACTCCACTTTTCGTTCATTTCGAACATGTTGGCTGCACGTGCGTACAATTCACATGTTTTTTTTTCAGTTTAAATGAGCTTGTGGATAACGATCCGAGAAATTCACGAGCCGACTTGATTATCTTCTCGGCATCGGACAAGCTGCATGTCTTTTTGCTCGTTGTCCGCCATTTCATTTTGAAGGCGCACTTCAGCCGTGGAAAGCTTTAGACAAGCAATACGAGGCTTGAAACAAGCACCACCGGCTACAAGCGAAGTTCTCATTTGCTGAGGCTCTCCAGTTTTTTTTTTAATCACACGGGTATTTTCAGCATAGCTAGGCCTGCGATGTGTGTACCTACTTGACCCAACGCTCCCGTATGCGTGCTGCTGTATTTCTGCGACTTGGTTCCCGACTTCCCTCACAACACAAGCCACCTCCTCCCAAGCTTCATTGTCAATGGAATAGCCCTTCGGCCACCATGTAACTCCTACTGCAGACTCACTCGAACCTTACTTCGAACGTGCGCAACTTTGCGGGCCACGGCAGTGTGTTACAAATAACGGAGGAAACGGGCGCCAGGAACGATCAACAGCCATGGGCGCTTGCTCATTCAGTTTTTCCGTTGACCTGAGTTGTATCGAGACGCTCGGGTCCTGATCTCCTTTTGTATTGCGATAGCAATCATATGAATACTCTCGGTTGGATTTCGCCACCCGTGTCGACGTGGGCATCGAGATCGATGTCATGCATCGTGTATATATATATATATATATATATATATATATATATATATATATATATATATATATGAAACGCAAGAAACCCAGAAAAAAACTCCAGTGCCCGGAATTCAACGTGGCACCTCCACATCGTGAATGCGAGGCGTTAACCACTGAGCCACCAAGGGGTACCTCCTTGAACGTATGAACAGGAAGCTATATATAGCTACCACTTACCGCTGTTAGCGGGCATTTCGGGGAAGAACCATAGTTTTTCCAGCATTATCAGCAAGATGGCGCAAAGAGCGCGCAGTGGCTCTCATCTCTCACGCGTACTTTGGCCCGCGGAGAGTAGGAGTGGACGATCTCTCGCGCACCCTTTTCTCCCCGTGGTGAAAATCATACGTCTTGACTGGCGTTGGGCTTGAGCTGGAACAATTTTGTTGTGGTCACGGGGTGCACAAAGATCACTGGAATTGTTGTACAGCTTGCGCTTGTGAAGGGCGCGCTTTTCAGACACAACAAGGTGACATTTGAGATGCTCATTCACGTTCGTCTGTACCTGTGAGAACGTTTTGCACGTCATTTATGCGTGAGAAACGCGGGCCACGTTTTGATCTGCTTGCCATTGTGCGCGTGACCTTCCAAGTAGTTGCTATCGCATTCATTGCTTTGCCTTTGCGGCAAAGCTGGGACTTTTTTTGTTTTTCACAAACACAATCGAAGAGTAAGAAGAGAACGAATATAGCGCAGGCATGTTGATGATGATGATTATTTTCTACCGACGCAAAACGGCAGACTGAGAAGCGCAATGGCTCTACTGTGAAAATGAATTCCCCCCCCCTCCCCGACCGAGACACTCTCGCAGGGTGCCGCGTAAGTGAGTACATTCAATGCACAATGATAATTGTACATGGCGTATAGATATCGAGTTCTCGAAGGTACTGACATTGTTCTGTTGTTTATACTGTTGTTAAAATTTAGCCTTGTTATTGATGTTTGCGCCACGTTAAGTACTTGTAGCAAAAACAAAACTCTAATGGTTAGTGTGTCGGCAGGGTGTATTCTGTAGGGGTCTGTCAGAAGAGGTGTGAAAGCTTCAATTGATACGTCGGACACCTAGAATGAGATTTTTTTGTGTCTCTTGTTGTGTGCCACTTGATCACCCACTTTTAGTAAAAAAAAAGCAAAAAAATACTTCCGTGTCGGAATTGACACTAGTCAATCTTAGGTGCATTTGGTATAAATCTTTTGTATGTTTTAAATAAACATGGTACGCGCATCATAACGACAAAGAAAGAGAGAGCAACGATACCACATTCAAGCTGCCTCAACTAGAGTTTCTACAGTGAAAGCTGTATACGGCTAAGACAAACGAAATAAACAACCGCCAGGCCTGTATGCAACGCGCCGTACAATCACAGCGTAAGCTGGAAGAGCGGCCTCAAGCCATATTAAAGACTCTTTGGGTATCTGCTACAACCAAACTTGCAAGGCACCCACTACAGCATAAAACAACTAAATTTCTTGTATAGTAGCCAGCAATTGCACTATACCATGCTTCGTCGTTCTTAGGAGAAGTGTGGTACCCAATACAAAAAAAAATTGTGCAATTGTTTGATGCTCTGGCTGACGACCATGAACAATTATGCCTGAACCTTTAGTAAGGGCGTTGGAGCTTTTGGCAACACACTCGTTACGCCAACATCATAGCGTGAAACGTGGTCCTCTCTTAATTGAAACGCTCTACTGCTGATGTTAACACTATTCTTTGGCCGACGTCTAGCCTGCCTACTGTCAGGTTTGAAGGGAGTTGCAAGCACAAGTTTGGCTGAATGGTAGAACATTGGCTGGCACGCAGGATATCCGGGTTCAAACACCATCGTGTTCTTGTTGTTCTGCATAAAGTTTTTTATTCCTATTTTGCACGATAGTGGTTACGAACACCGGTGGTAGCGGCGGCAGACAACTATGGCACGAGCGAATCTTGATGTAATCTTATAAAAGCTTTCGCTGTAAAACCGTCCGGTTTTGGTGTCACGAGCTGTTTTCATAGACTGTCTTATCACTCACATCATTCGCAGCACCGTACCCAAGCACGCGCGCCATTTTCCACGCTGTGAGTGACATCGTTCATCGCAATGCAGCTATGGCGCCGAGAACGTGTGCGTCAGTTTTTCTGAAAACTTCTACATCGGTATGCGACGGACAACACCACAAGGGTTGTGACAGTGGAAACGTGAGAGAGCTTGTATTCACTGGGTGGATAGTGCAGTCCCAAGTCAAACGAGTATCTAACCTTAATGAACATAATCACGTCACCCAGAATTGCGAAAGGCTTTAGTGCCACGTCGGGTTGAACCCAATTCTAAGCACCGAAGCCGCACGTGTCAGCTTTTGCTGGGTACCCAATTGTGTGGAGTGCTCGAGCTGTATTTTTTTCTTTACGCTCTTTTTTACAATGCCACGACTACTTACATATGCTATACGTTGAATGGTAGATTATCTAGCAACAATAAGGCACGTTACTAGGCCAAAATGAGAAAACAACACCTGGCGATGAATGCTAACTGAACCTTGTTGTACGAAAGTAAAGTCTCCAAAATGAGTAGCGGAGATGTTGAAACTCTATAGTTAAGTGATTAATTATATCGTTCAGTGATTTCTAGTTTTTAACTATTGACGTGTGAACTGGCATGTTTTCCTCTTCAAAAGTATCTTTCTTAGTGTTATTGCCATATAAAGGCAGTTTTCTGAATTTTCGTTACGTAACTTGCGTCACATTTGCAGAATGACTGAGAGCTAGATGCAACAAATGAAAATATTTTCGTATTCGACTCATGAAAGCAGTGACTAATTTCATTCAAGCATGGCAAAAATTAAAACAGTTTAATTAAGAATTACTTTATGAATACACAGAACTCACCAATACTGCCAATGTTGGCTAGGTCTTGCTCTTTGCAAGCATCGATGAAGCACACACCTAGTCGTATTCCTGGCAGGCTCTTATCTGTCAGAAAGGACATAAACCTTCCCATCTGAGATGAAAAAAAAGAAATTAATTATAAAAAGGTGACCAGAAGAACAGGAGCTGAGAAATCGGCCCCGTATCTGCATGTTACACTGGAAATGTCGTCGAAAGACGGTATTCTTGTGTCTGGAAAGAGTGAGCAAAACGTTTATTTGATGTTCTGCCAAGAAAAGTTGTGAATAGTATTGTGGAGGTGCTGCGTTAGAGTGCCTCGAGCCTGCAGCGTAGGCGAAGGAGCACATCAAGTCACACATGATACATGAGCGCTATCTGGCAGTTATCTTGGAAAACGAAGCGTGCGCACTCTGAGTGCCCTTCTTGGAAGTGATAACGCACGGAGGAAGGAAAGGTAAGAAGAGGCCTTGACGTCACTCGTTGTGAAGCCGTGATGGAACCGGAAGTCGGCCATACTGACTAGGCAAATTCTCCTCTCTTGTTTACATGTGAATGCGAAGCAGAAGGCGTGACTCCCTCTCTGTTTCAAAAAGCACGTGGCCTGCGCGCCGCGTGCGTCCATGCTATCTAAAGCCAACGGAACGGATTTCAACACGCTGTCTTGCCGCAATACGGTTGACGAAATCTCTGCGTATGGCTGTTGTACTCTTGCACTGCTGGCGTTAACGATAAACACGGCAAGTTGCACGTTAAGCTTTTTTTGTTTGATGAGTTCTTTGTGAAAATAAAGATTATAATTCAGACATTGCCGCGCGACGAACCAGGCGCCGAAATTTGTACAGCTTCTTTCAGAACACTTTTCCCCTTTCGCGCTTGTCTTTAGGTTATATGAAATTTGCGGTCAGGCTGTGGGCTAGACACAACGATAAAAAAGAAAAAAATGTCTTCCCTTCAATAAACTCGGAGGTCGGTAATTATGCCAGTAAAGTCGGCGTCGGTGGAGCTTGTTTGCGTGGCAGCCCGTTGAGTTTGCGCCGGCGTCTTTGTTTTCGGCCCTCTTTTGTCCGACGTGCACTGGTTCCTACGGATATCCCAAAGGCCATGATTTCATTAGGACGAAAGCAGCGAAGACCACCCGAAAGTGCGTGAGAACACGTCTCCAGTGTGATTCACGCGCACTGGTAGCTACGGAGAACGGAGACCAGGATCGCGTTAGGGCGAAAGGTGGGAAAGTTAGCCGAAAAAATGCGTGAGAAAAGGTCTTCGGGAAGCTTCACGCGTCGACACAGCGGCCAAGGACGACAGGGAAAGCCAGCCAAATGCGAGGGAAGATGTTTCCGGGATAAGTGGCTAGTTATTAGAGAAAAATAAAGAGAAGGCGCTTGTTTTTCTTCCTTATCTGGAACAGAGCTCAGCGCCAACCGCCAACCGGTAACTGTGCAGGAACATGAAAAGCAAGATTAGATTACAATATTAATAAGGGCCTGTGGAACGCAAATGCATCGTCCGTTGTCATAAGAAGCAACACTGCATAACTGTCACTAACCTGCAAGGCATTCATTGAACGAATTCTTGAGCACAGTCGTTATCTTTTATGATGGCTTTTCAGCATAATTTTGACGGACGCTGCAAATTCGCAGTACGTATACGCGCGCTAGTTCCGTGGTTTCTAGTTCAGACACTTGGTTACAGCCACCACCGGAGGAAAATCGCGTAGCTAACAATGTGGCATGAAGAATGGATGCTGTCAAACACCTGCAGTACGCCACGGTTAGGTCCGAGGCCCATGAAAACGCGCACACCACCACTGGACCGCCTGAACGGTGCTGCACCGCACTACATCAACAATAACAAAACGCCGCCATTGTGCCTAGTGAATATGGTCGCACGTGACATAATTTCCGCCACATTTTTTACACCCTGCGCCAGCTGGGCATGCCCTCTCCTTATCTTTCCTTCTTCCGTGTGATAAGGTGTAGAGCGCAAGGCGACAGGTAGGTGCCACCATCGTGTGGTCTTAGCAAAGCGTTGGAAACACTTGCCTTTTTGTGCAAGTGTTGCCTGCTCAGCGCACCGTGATAAACGGTACTGTTCTTATGAGTACCTATGTATGTTTTTTCTAGTAAGAGACACACATACAGAATATTGCCGTGTTGTTATGGTGCCTCAAATATGCGCAAGAACTCCTTTTTAATTGACAATCACACAAGTAGGAACGCTAAACCTTGAGCAATATTGGTGGGCGCTGCGGATGGGTTCAGCCATTTATAGTATCGTTTGGCCGCTTCGATGCCGCTTAGGGCAGCGTTAAGAGTGGACAAGCAGACAAATATCCACACAGACAGACCAAAATTTTTGCGTCGAAGCTCCCCAACAAAGACTATCGTCTTTAAAAAAAGATAACGGAGAACGTCGTGGCCGACAGTGTAAGAGCTATTTATCTTTCACAGTATAAAGGCGAAATGTAATTTTATGGATGCAAGAAGAACAATAGAAACAAGGCATTGCAAGATCAAATACTGGCAGATTAAGCGCACAATCAAAATTGTAGATAAAGTATTTCTATATCAACAAGTTAGAATCACACATGATGACAAACGCCAGTGTTGATTAATGACAACTTAGCGGGCTTGTCTTTTACTCACCATGTTATAATTGTCTCAGACCACCTTCACATGAGTTGGCCTTCATAAACAGCAGCTATATTTGCAGACAATAACAAGTTGCTGATGCCTCAACCATGGCTCATACTCACTCAGGCGCATTGACTACAAACGAGTTATATTGAGTTTTTTGGCCTTTCATGTATTATGTGTTCCTAATAAAAACAGGAAAGAACGTACTTAAAAACAGAAAGAGTAAAAACACTTTTTCTAGAATTCCGACTACACAGTATTGCGTACGTTTTGAATATATGTTACAGTAACACAATACAAAATTGAAATTTACAATTTGAATTTGCCTAATAGTGGTATACTAATTCAAGTCGTAATTTAAAGACGCATTCGTTTTGTTTTAAGAGGGTGCCTGCAAACAGCATCAAAGGCGTTCCTGTGACTGAAGCCTAGAGGTGAAGCCACAAACGTAAGTATTTTGTCAACCGCGATTGTCAGGCACAGGTTAGAAAATGACATTACAAGGAGTCGTGTTACAACCTCTAACGGCGACATGACAAAAATTGACAAATTGCACGTACAGTGAGAATCAATGATATGCAAAGCACGAATGATGAAGGTTGACATGTTACTACGAAATCAGCACACCGTTAAGAGGTGGACGTAAATTATGCCGTACATCACTTCCGTGTTTTGATTATCATGTTTGCGCCTTCCATTTGTGTTTGTCGTCCACTCGCGTCACGTAATACCAAATGTGGTATATGTAAACCTAGTGAAACGGCCGCGAGCACGCTATGAGTATAGCAAATAGTCATATTTTACATGACAGCCATGTCATGATTATCATGTTTTAAAGTACCGTTTACCTGCATCATCTATTCACATTGCGTAATATCAAATTCGCTATATGTGGAGCAAGGGAAACGGCCGTGGTCACGCTATGAGCGTAGCATATAGTCATCGTTTACAAGACACGCATATCATAACTATCCTGTTTGGACATGTCATTTACTGTCGTCGTCTATTCACGTCACGTGATACGAAATTTGGTATATGTGAAGCTAGTGAAACGGCCGCGAGCGCGGTTTTAGCGTAGGAAGTTTCATGTCTTACATAACACACATGTCATGATTACCATGTTTGGACATGTTACATACGTTCGTCGTCTATTCACGTCACGTGATACCAAATTTGGTATATCTGAAGCTAGCAAAACCGGCACGAGCACGCTATGAGCGTGGCAAGTAGTCAAGTTTTACACGGCAGGCATGTCATGAATGTCAAGTTTAAACATGTTATTTACCTTCGCCTTCTATTCCCATTGCCTGATTTTAAATTCGGTATATGTGGAGCTAGCAAAACGGCCGTGATGGCGCTATGAGCGTAGCATATAGTCATGTTTTACATGACACGCATATCTTGATTATCATGTTTGCACCCGTAATATATCTTCACCATCCATTCCCGTCACGTAACCCCAAATTTTGTGTAAGTGATGCTAGCGAAATGGCCACGACCCAACTATAAGCGTCATATGTAGTCATGCTTTACATGACACGCATGCCATGAATATCATGTTTCAACGAGTCCTTTACCTTCGTCGTCCGTTCGCGTCCCATATTTCCAAATTTTTATACGTGGAGCCAGCAAATCGGGCGCCTGCGCCTGATGAGGCAAGCATGTAGTCACGTTCTTACATGACACGCGTCTCATGATTATCATTTAAGGCACCAGTCATATGCCTTTGTATTGCATTCACATCCCGTAATACCAACATTGGTTCATGTGATGCTATCGAAACAACCGCGACCGCCCCATGAGCGTGGTGCGTATTCATGACTTACATGACATGCATGTCATGATTTCCACGTTAGGGTCAGTCACTTATATTCACCGTGCAGTCATGTCATACCATATCAGTTTCGCAATATGCCATGTGAACGAAATCACTGTAAGAGCAGCAATACTAAGAAGTGTGAATCATGACATGCAAAACATCACTACATGCTACGGTCATAGCGCTCTCGCGGCTGTTTCGCTAGCTTCACATATACCAAATTTAGTAATACGTGACGTGAATGGACGACTGATGAGCACAAATGCCAGGCGCAAACATGATAATCATGGCATGGAAGTCATGTACGTCATGTTTGCCGGCCACCTCATAACGTTGTGCTGAACTGGATTGATTTCATTGATTGATATGTGAAGTTTATAATGACCTAAAACGACCACGAGATTATGAGAGGCGCCGTAGTGGAAGGCTCCGGAATTTTCAAGCATCTGAGGTTCTTTAACGTGTACCCTAAAATGAGCAAAGAGGACTACAGCACCTTCACCTCCAACGAAAATGCAGCCGCCGCAGCCGCGATCCTATCCCGCGACCTGCTGGCCAGCATTCAAGATCCTTAGACGCTAGACCCCAACGGCGGGGATGTTGTGCGAATTTTTATGCGGCATTTTAACCTTCCTCGTGTGTGCTTCGAATATCATC